GACTTTCATTTTTTATTTTGAGACAAGGTCTCACTAAGTTGCCCAGGGTGGCCTCAAACTAGCGATCCTCCTGCCTCTGCCTCCTGAACATCTGGGATGAGAGGCTGTGTCATGCATTTGGCCAAATAATCTTCAAAATACTCACATGAAAACCCCACAGGCCCTTTGGGCTAAGATCCAAAGATTTTTTTTTTTTTTTAAGAGAGAGTGAGAGACAGAGGGGGACAGAGAGAGAATTTTAACATTTATTTATTTTTTCTTAGTTCTCGGGGGACACAACATCTTTGTTGGTACGTGGTGCTGCTGAGGATCGAACGCATGCTAGGCGAGCGCGCTACCGCTTGAGCCACATCCCCAGCCCTAAGATCCAAAGATTTAAAGACAAAAAACAAACCAGCCAACTTCAGACCCAGCTCACAAAGCCAGTGCTTACACCCTAAAGCCTCAAGAGACACTTCCTGAGGCCCTTCCTTTGAAGGCTCAGGAACAGATGGCCCCTCCTGAGGCTGCCCTTCCCCTGGTGCACAGTTCTCCCTACTCTGGAGCAGGAGTCCCCAGGACAGCTCCCGTCCTCTCACTAGACTCACCCTGTGTTGGACAGGAAAGCTGGGGACCCTCAGTGAACAGGACCCACCCTGCAGCCTATAGGTCAGAGCTACCTGTGCCCAGGGTCAGGGCCCGCTCTCACCATTTGGACCCTGGGCAGCTATCCCTGCTACAGTCCCCGACACTGGCCACAGGTCTCCTCATGACCTCCAGGGGGCGACATGGGACTCACAGCCAACACTTGGCAAATTGATTCTGACACTTGGACCAGGCTTTGGCTCTGGAAGTGGAAATGTGGCCTGATTTCCATCCCCAAAAGACTGCAGGGTGCCTCCCACGAACCTCCTCGGCTCTCAGCCCCCACTCCTTCCTGGGCCTGTGAGGACCCTGAGCTGCCAGAGGTCTCTGAGGAAGCCCTTACCTCCTGGCATCACCCATAGAAAAAGGCAGTGACCACAGGAGAATCACTAGGTAGAGGACACAGGCCACCCAAGGAAGGCATGGGCAGGCCTGAGTCACAGCTCTGCCAAAAAAATGGAGAGGGAGGGTCTCCTTAAAATCACTCCCGGAGGACCACAGAGCCTACAGTCACCTACGTGCACTACCACAGTCCTCCCCTCCCAGAACAGAAAGCTTATGAAGTCCTGAGATAGCCACTCAGCATCAACACCTGGTCAACACCTGGTCAGTGCCCCTTCAGCCCACAGGTGGCTGGGAGCCCCTAGGCCTGCCCCTACAGTGTCCACTCTTGCACTCAACCACTCCTCCAGGGTTGGATTCTTTTCCTGGGGCTTTGAGGAGCCCTGTCATCAAACACTCAAGACTGGGGACCCACCTGGCCAAGCCAATCTACACGGGTGGCATCGGGTCACCTCCTCAGGCTCCTTGACTCCCTGGACCACTAAAAGGGCTACATGGTCTCTCCCAGGACATGCTGTCTGCCCTGATACTCTGAAAACTGAGGACCCTCAGCCCCTCCTGCAGCAGGGACCCAGGCCTCCTCACACCTCTTGCTGATTCTCTGCCCCCAGGCCAAAGCCCCTCTGACAGCTCCACCTCCCTGGCAAGACCCCCAACAACCCTCCATGCAGGGGACCCAGCTGTGCAGGCTCAGGGCAGGGGCAATCTCACCCCCAACACAAAACAAACACCCCCTCTCCTGTTGGACCAGGACAAGGTTAGTCTGGCCTTGGCCAGTGGCTTGGCCACTCATAACTGTGTCCTGAGCCCACCCTGCTTTCCTCCATATGTCTCAGGGGAGTCCTAGAGGCTACTAGGTGCAGAATGGATGCTGGGAGCGTCTGTCAGTGGTCCTGGGTTAATGATGGGGGGAGCAGAGTCTGGACAGAAACTGGGGTGTCTGTCCAGAAGTGGACACCAGTGCTCAGGACCCAGAGCTGGTAACTCCTGAGAAGAAGGGACTAAGACAGACACAGGGAAGTAAGCTCTGTCCTTTCAGATGTGGGGAGCTGCACTGAGTTACTACGCCTTCCAGTCCTGATGCACCACTGGGATCTAAAGATCATTGTACTCTGATGCAGTAGTGCCATGACTCATGACCAACCCCCAACCCCCACCCCACTCGGATAGCAAGGCCAGTCTTCTGAGTAAGGATAACCCTGGGTTGAGCAACACTCACCTATTCTTTTGTAATCCTACCCCTTTGCCCTGTTTGGGATAGAGAGTGCCATGGAAACTCCCTTTTTGTGTCCCCTTCTCTTGCTCTGCCTTTGGGTGTGGCCTTCCTAGATGTCTGTCAACCTGCTGACAACAGACATCAGGAAGCTAGACTCAGCCCCTGAAATCTGACCCCTTGCCTCATTTGAATGGCTTCTCCACAATAAAAGGGTTCGGCATATGCTTGCTCTCTCTCTCTTCTTGGACCCATAAGGTCAGAGGAGCCATCACAGAACCCCAAAGAAAAGGTATCTGTCTCTGTGTGATTATTTCATGCAGCCCAGGTCACCTGGAGTGACCTTGAGTGTTTTAGTCGTGAGAAATTTAAGATCGGGCAAGGTGGGCAGCAACCAAAGGAGGCAGATTTAAAAAGGCCGCCAAACCAGGCTTTATTGAGACTCACTCCCAGGCAGAACTCCATCAGACCTACAGAGTGGACAGGAGGAGGGGCTGAGGAGAAACCTCGTGGGAGCTCCACTGGACTGGGATTTTACAGGGATCACGGCAGGAAGGGAAGGGCTTGGGACAGGAAAAGGGATTTTTAGGGTCCCTTGTCCCGCTGGAGTTGGTCAGGGGAGCTGGCTGACATTCAGGATTGGCCAGGGGGTTCTGCTGATTGACAGGCGTTTCCATGGGTGCCTGATTGATGTTTCTTTCCTGCTCAGGCTGCTTTGTTCTAAGTCACCGCTGCTGACCTGACAAAAAACATGACAGTCAGAGACCAGAACATTCCAGGTACCATCCAGCACCTGCTCACTGGAGTCTCAGCCTTGATGATTGTCCCTCACTGACACTGATGTTCACTCTCCCTCCCCTGCCCAGGCCCTTGTCTCTAGCCTCAGAGATGCTGTTCCCATCTACCAGGTGAGTGTGGGTGATGAACATTCTGGCCCACAGTCTAGCGGGGACCCAGGAGCTGCCCCTCCCCACACCTTCCTGAGATTTCCAAAAACAGCAGCCAAAACAGGATCCGGGTGGTGAGCAGGGGAGGGAGGGGCCTGGGAACAGGAGCCACTGAGCCCAGCCAGGAGCAGGCACAGAGGAGTCCCAGGGGGGCCAGGGCCTAGGAGTCTCTGATCCCTGTTCTCAGAAGGACACAGGGTCAGAGGACTCTTGTTTTTTTCAGGAATTACTAAACCCTGAAGTGGACATCTACTGCTGGGTCCATAGCCAAGCTCATGTGGATTCTTAGTTCCCACCAGACAATGCTGCATATGGGCTGAGGGAGGGTCCCACTAGAACCCCAGACCCTCGATGGTGGCGCTTGAGCCCTGGGAGACTGACACCTGGAGGAGGTGGGGGTCCCTGGGTTTCTGGAGACCCAGACAGGCTGCCCTGGGCTCTGAATGGCCGGAACCAGGCTGCCTGTGCCCAGGAGAAGGGGCTCCAGGGAGAGGGAAGAGCCCTGTGGGTCACCTGGAAAGGCGCTGAATAAAGACCCCCTCCCTCCTTCGCTCTCTTGGTTCCTGTGGGAACGTCTCTTGGCAGACACTCCCCTCAGGGTCCAGGTCAGCTCTCTCCTGTGTCACGCAGGGGAATCGTGGTCTCCAAGTTGTTCCCACAGGTTTCTCTTCCTGGGAGACAGGAGCTGGGAGGTGGGACCAGGGCAAAGGTCGGGTCTGTCCACAGGGAAGGGTGAGGGTCCCCAGGCCCTGCAGCCAGCAGAGCACTCAGTGGCCCTCACATTCCAGGGACCCACGGTGGCTGGCTGTGGCCACTGATTTCTTTCTTACTCAAAGGCCAGTACTCAGCACATCTTCACCTCTGCTGGGACACGGGACTGTCAGAGTAATCAGGGGAAGGGGCCAGATCCAGACTCAGGCCCTGAACAAGGGCCTCAGGCACTGCCCAAGGCTCCAGCCCTGCCCTCCCATCACCTTCCACTCTGCCCTGCCTGGTCTCTCCTCTGCACACTCCAGAACCCAGAGCAGAGGCTCAGGGCTTCCCACATGGGGCTCTCCAGATTCCATGGTGATGGGACAGAGGGTCTCCTCCCTGACCTGGGGCCCAGAATGTCCACTGCAGTCTCTTCCACACACTTGGGCCACTGCTCTGCCTCCTTCCCTGAAGACTGAGAAGGGTGACGTTTTCCTGTAGGTTCACTTGGATCAGGCCATCACTTTTCTGGATATTAAGAGTCAATGTACTAAAGCTCAGGGACGCTCTCCTGATGCCTCACAGTGGTCTGTGCTGAGGTGAGAAGTAGGAAGAGCCCCTCGAGTGTCCATCATGACTCGGCTCTAGTGAGGCTCCTCTGCATGAACACAGCATCACATCACACACGGTGACTGCTCTCGCCTTGGTGTCCTGGTGCTCTTGGTACAGACTGGCTCCCACACAGTGGCTCCAACAGCAGATACCAAGGTGTCCTGAGCTGCATTCTTCTGGAGAATCCACGGGAGTCAGTTTCCTCACCTTTTCCAGCTTCTAGCTGCTGCCTGCTTCCCTGGCCTGTGGGCCCGGCTCCATCTTTGAAGAAAGCAAGTGGCCCCTGAAGGCTCTCTGCTCTGCTCCTGCCCCACACCTCTGGCTTCTTCTGTCTGTCCTGCTTCCCTCTCTCCCTTACAAGGAAAGGACCTTGTGACTACCTGGACCCACCAGATGGACCACAAGAACCTCTCACAATTATATTAGATTATATGATTAATGTGATTAACATGATTCAATTATATGTGATTAATATTTCCAGAATAGGCAAATATATATGACAGAAAACACTAGCGGTTTTCTAGGAGTATGGGATTTGGGGGGAAATGGGAGAGTGACTGCTAATAAATATAGAGTTTCTTGTGGAGTTGATAAAACTTTTAAAATGGATGTTAATAGTGGTGTACAATTCTATGGATACCTAAAACTATTGAGTCAGACTCTTAAAATGGGTGGCTTTTATGGCATGTGTGTTATAACAATAAAGCTCAATAAAGCTATTATAATTTTTTTTTAAATTTCACCTTTATTTCATTTATTTGTTTTTATGTGGTGCTGAGAATCAAACCCAGGACCTCACTCATTCTAAGCAAGCACTTTACCACTGAGCTATAACCCCAACCCAAAGCTATTATAAATTAATGAGAAAATGTTCAACAATTCTTAAATTTTTTCCACTGCATGTATTCAGCACTGTATTAGATATTTCTGTAATTTTTCATCAATAATACAATGATCAAAGAAACTCATGGATAAAGGACAGTACATTATGATTAATTCTATTTTTACCCATTCTCTTGTTCTTTTTCCTTCTGAAGTTTTCAGTATTCTGTTATTTTTTATGTATTTATTTATTTTGATACCTAGGGATTGAAACTGGTAGGGGCTCTTTATCACTGAGCTATGTCGCCAGTTTTGTTTTGTTTGGGTTTTTTTTGAGACAGGGTCTCACTAAGTCACCCAGGCTGGCCTCAAACTTGACATCCTCCTAACTTGGCCTCCTAAATCACTAGAATTACAGGCATATACCACTGAATCTGGCCTTTTAGCTATTTTTAAAAACTAATAATTTTCTTCATCAAAGAATGTCCTTATTTTCCCTTTAATCCAGAAAAATGTTCCCCCGGCAACTGGGCATGACACTGCCATTTTATCAGGCCAATCTGTCCACTCCCTAGACATAGCTGGCCCTCCTCATACCTTCCACATCTCCATACTCTCATGGACCACAGGACAAAGCACAAGGGTAACTCTACAACTTTATTTGGTTAATCAAAGGGGTCTGGGCGTTGATACAGCTGGATGGTCAGTACCTGAAGACAAGCAGGAGGCCTAAGAGAATTCCCCAAGAAGGATCTTGACTAGAGGGCCCCGCACCAACAGTCTGGGACTTCTGTATGATGTTGAGGACCTCAGTCACTTTGATACTTCCAATATGATGAAAATCTGATAAGAGATTCTGATATTTACGAGCACAGCCCAAGATGAGGAAGGTGGTATTGAGCGTCCCTATAAGGAAGAAAGGGAAGATTCAGGGACGTTTCAAGAGAGACATTACCCAGAAGCTCCTCACAAACCAGGACACCTCCTTTTCCCACTAACACACCAGGCACCTTACCCCTTCCTCCTTGGAATTCTTGTGACTGGTCCCCTCTACCCAGAATCCCATCTCCAGACCCCATCAGCCTCTCTCAGAGGTTTGTTTGAAGTTATTGACAGCACCTGGCATACAGCAAGCATTTGATAAACAAAGTTCCTCTCCTCTCACCTGCCTGAAATTTGAAGGTGGAACTGAAACAGCTATGGGCAACAGAGGGACAAGTCTCAGAGGAGACAAAATTTGGAAGACACTCCTCATTGTGCCTGCCCACACACGTTGGGCAAGTATTCGAAGAACTTGAGGTAGACTTAGCAGATTTGGCCTTGAGCCTCACAAAAGGCTGCAAGTTGGTGAGGTTATTGCAGAGAAAGGTCCGGCAAACGTGACTATAGGAGGCAATGGACACTCCAGGAGGTGAAACAAGGTAGGAGACTTGTTGATGGTAAGATAAGCTTGAAGTGCAGCCTTTAAACCCCACAACTCCCCTTCTGGTCCCTGAGGAGCAGAGGATTAGAGAGTTCTGATCAGTGTCATTGGCCTCACTCAAAGTCCACCCTTCTCCCTCATCATCTGTGCCCTCTCTGCCCACCCCACACCTTTGCTTCTTCCCCATGTTCACTCATTGCAGCTGCATGAGGCTCAGATGCGAGGTCTCCATCTTGGTCTCTTTAACCTTCTCTCTACAGGAGTCCCTCTGCTCTTCCCTGTGTCCCATCCCTTTTTCTACCCCATATTTCCCCCTCCTCCAAGATCCGCCCATCTCCATTTTGTGCTCTTCATCAGCCCACAATGCAAACAGCTGGGACCATCACTGCTCTTGCCAGTATCCTGACATATTCCCAAACATACAATGACGTCAATATCTGGAACTCTAGTCCTGAGTGCTGGGAGTGGAGCTAGGGATAGAAGAGTGAGCAGAAGGAGATTATTAAACCCACCCCACTTCACCTGACTCAATGAGCACTAGTGTCTCCTCACAGCCTTCTCTCAGCTTACACACCATGCTCCTCATCAGAAGCCACCTCCAGTTATGGAAGGTAACAGCTCTGAATGCTGAGGCTCTTGCTTCATAGCACAAAAGAGTATCAGCCCCTAAAAAGAGAATGAACTTCCAGGCATCTGCCCCATATCACCTTCTCAGGCCCTGAGTTCCAACCAAGAATTCAGCCTTGGACCTAGATACCCAGCCCTCCTTCCCCAAGTGACATGAATCCAGCCTCCCACCTTTTGAGGTCTTAATAGCATTCAGCCCCGCAAGACATACAAGGTAGAGAAGAGATGGCCCCTAGGAGGCAGAGCAGATGCACAGGTCTCAAATGCTGGGATCCCATGGTCCTGTGTCTGGGTCCTGTATGCTAAAAGTCAGTCTGGAACCAATTTCAGCGTGGGTTCCAAATTCAGTTCTTGGCAGTCCCTAAATTCTCTGTTCACCCACTTCTGGGTCACTGTTTCTGGAGCAGAAAGTTGACTGCATCAGTTACTTGAGGACTTCAGGAACACAGGCTCCCCATTTCCATGGTCTCCCCTCCAATCTAACCCATTCCCACCACATCAGCTTCTCAAAGCACAGCTCTAATTCTCCCACTTAGGTCTTCCCACTAGCCTTGGTCGGATCTGAAGGACCACTATTGCACAGGCTGTTCTCCAGTCAGACACAATGAAAGCAGAAAAGCAAATGGATGCTCACAATTCCTATGAGTGGAAGTCAGTCAAAAGACTACTACACACCACTTGGCTCAATAAAGAAACTAGAAAATACTTATGACAGAATAATATTATAATGCATACCATACACGAGTACATGCCAAATCCACTGAAAACTCAATAACATCTGTAGACTAGTTAAGAGTATTGTACCAATTTCTATTTCTCACTCATATGCTAGGTTATATAACATGTCTTCATGGGGAAACTAGAGGAAGGGTTCAAGATAATTCATGTATTATTTTCGCAACTTTCTATGAGCCAATAATCATTTCACAATTGAGAGATTTGGGTTTTCTTTTTAAAAACAACAACATACCAAATTTTAGGATACAATAGTATTTACAAGTAAACCTATATTTTTAAATAAATTTATCAGGAAAAAAGAAACATTGAAAAATAAATATGTTCATGAATTAGCTCAAGAGGTTGTATAAGGAAAAATGAAGCACACACTCCCAAAATAAGAATAGAAATAAAAAGGATGGCAGAAATCAATGAAACAGTAAACAACAACACTCATTATTATAAAAAAAAAAAAACCTAATGTTCATTCTTTGAAAAGATTAATAATATAATTATCTGGCAAATGTGCTCAAGAGAAAAGATGCAAATAAAATAAGAATGAAAAATGGGAAGTGACAGCAGATGTTTTATAAATAATAAAAGTATCATTAACAACTCTACATTGATAAATTTGAAAACCCAGATGCAGTGAATAAACTTTTAAAATAAGAGAAAATGCCAAAATTAGCATAAGAATATACATAATGCAGCACTGGGAGTGCAGCTCAGTGATACAGCACTTGCCTAGCACACTTACGGCCCTGGGTTCAATCCCCAATAAGGGGGGCTGGAGGAATAGCCAAGGACCTCCTGAAAATCAACCAGAAAGAGACAGCAACCCTGTAGGAAAATGGACGGAGTATATGTAGAGGCAATCCTCAGACAAGCAAGCAAGAAAGGCTAACAAACACACCTAGCAACAATCAGAGAAATGCAGCCTCCTCAAACTGTACATCTCTTGGACTGACTATAATCAGGAAGCTGGAAACAGACAAGTTTTGGCAGTAATGTGGGGATAAAGGGGTCCTTGTGCACTGCTGTTCATGTGATGGTTGGTGGGATGGTGGATAGGGTTCTTTTCCAGATCCTGAGGAACAGAGGAGTTGAGAGTTCTGATCAGTGTCTCAGGCCCAACACAGCATTGCAGAAGGAAGTCCGACAATATTTAATCAAATTAGGTATGTAAATATGCACTTCTGGTATATCCTGGATACAAAATTTTCCACCTTTGGGTTTATGAGAATGCAAGCATTATTGTGATGGGTAAGCGGAGGCAATAGGCACATCCCTTCCTGAGACCAACTGAACACACAATATGAAGGGATATACACCACACAATATCATGGCAGTTAGAAGCAACTGATTAGATGTACACTTGTGTATGTGCATGGGTCAGAAAAGTACAGATGTGATTATTTTAAGTAGTAAATAATAATATCATGAGCATAAATTTGAAAATGTGCAGAAAACTCTACACAATTTTGGGACAATCCACACAAACCAAAAGATACACATTAAGCACCTTAGAAGGACTACATATAGGAAGGTTAGGGAATGAAAGGGGGAATAAGGATTGGTGGAAATAACTAAAACAATGTAGGATGGGGTATGAAGTTTATAGGTCTTGCACACAAAGAGAGACCAAAGCTGGAATCTTTATCCTGCTGCTTACCAGCTACACGATCTTCCACAATTTGTTGAACTCTTGAGTCTGCTTTTTCATTAATAAAATGTATTAATAATATATTTTACAGGGTCATTGTGAAGATTAATAAGATTATTAATATAAAGTACAGGCAAATGCTGAACTCTATAAATGTTGGTTCCTCTCTCCCTCTCCCCTTCTCCATTTAGAGGATCCAGTTCAAGTTGTTTAGCTGGCATTCAAGCCTTCCCCCACCTCACCACCCCCAAGTTGACCCCAAACAACCTTTCAATTTTATCTAATATGGCTCCCTGCACAGCAGTCCAGCTGGAGGTCACTTTTCAAGCCTGGAATGCCACAGATCCACAGGGTTTGTGGCCCAGAATACTGCAGCAAAGAGGCTAAGGTCCACAGAAAAGAAGGGACATGGGAAGGGGAAATGAAGGCTAATAAAGGTTTACACAGAGGTGTTATTCTACCCAGAGAAAATCGCACACACCAGCCCTTGAGACAAAACGACAGGATAGAACAACCTAAGCACAAGTGGAGACACAATCAGAACAGACTTGAAATGAAACCCAGAAAGAACAAAGGATGGAGTGGTCAGAGGGGATGCTACCCCTACGAAAAAAACAAATCTACAGAGAGGAGAAGCAACCTGATGGACTGGAACCCTGCAGGGAGACAAAGGACCAGCAGGGACAGCACAGCAAAAAGGCAGGAAATGAGGAGTGAGGCACTCAAAACAGTGAATGAAAGAAAAGGAGACAGGGTGGGATGGACAGAGAAAAGGGATCATACAGAGAGGATGGGGAGGGAAAGTGTGAAATGGGTGTTAGGGAAACGGGGGAAGGCTACCATTAAGAGTCCTGGAAACAGTTGAAATCCCTAGAGGCACGCAGAGGGCAGAGGGCCTCGAAGAAAAAGTACAGACGCCTCCGGAGGCAAAGAATGCAAGAAAGGGGCGCAGGTTATCAGGGAATAAATAACCCGAAGAAAATGGGTCCAAAAAGCAGCAAGTTGAACAAGCAGAAAGAAGGTCAGACAGAGAGACAAGGGGTTCAACTTGAGAAGGTGAGACCCTGGAAGGAAACAGGGAAATCACAGGTTGGGGAAATGCATCAGAGACAAAGCATAGATTCAGAGTTGGGAAACCGGAAGAGAAGTGAAAAAGAACAAGCGAGTTCACGCAGCGAGGATCAGCAGCGAAGGCAAAGCCCGGAGCGCAGGCCAGAAATGAGACTGCGCATGCGCCCACAGTCTAGTCAACGCCTCGGGGCGGGGCTGAGCCTACCGTTCCTGGGGGCGGGGGGTGGGCCAACCTCGGTCCGGGAGGCAGTATTCGACGCCCCATTGGTCACCTTCTCCAAAAGAGGAAGAACAATCTAAGAAGGCAGGCCATGGGGGGAAGGGCAAGGGGCACGAGACTCAACTCGACGCGCTATTGGCTGGCCTGATGGTCTGGCGCGAGGAGAAGTGGGCAGGAGGGAAGGGGCGGGCCATCAACGTACGGATCTCGAAGCACATTGGCCACCGGCCTGAACAGCAGTAGGCGGTGCTTGAAGCTCATTGGCCCTTGTGATAAGGGGCGGGAAAACCAGCGCGAGCGCAGCCGTTCCTCTAGTTCCTCTAGCCACTTTCTCGTCCTTTCCCTTGGCCACCTCCTGTCTGAGTCTGACTCTGCTCTCGCGGCTGTGGTAACCACGGACCGGGGCGCGAACACGACCCCCCCTCCCTGTTCCTTCTGCTTCCTCTCACTTGGCACTGGATCTCCCCACAGGCATCCTCTCGCCCTTCCCCTCGCGCTCCTCGTGCCTCTCTTCTCCCTTCCCCCACCCCGCAGGCCCCTGGGCGCGTTCTCGTGCCCTGCCCCCTCCCAGGGATGCTGGAGCGGGGCGGAGCCACAAGTCCAGTGTTTGGGGGGATGGCTGCTGGAAGGGGTTGCATGAGAGAAATGGTTGCATAAGGAGGGGAGAATGCATGAGATTGTTATTAGTGGGTACAGGGGCATAAGCACTGGGTGCAGCCACGACTGCACAGGTTCGCCTGAAAGCCTGGATGCCTTCTAGATGCAGTGGAGAAATTGACGCCATCAGCTGAAGAATTTTGGTGTTGATCAGGGCCTCGCACATGGCTGGAACTCAGTAACCTGTCCAGTGAAGGAATGCGTGAATTAAAATAACTATTGAAAGTAGGGCAAGGAGCAGGGTGGGAATGTGGCTTAGTGGTAGAGGACTTCCCTACCATCCATGAGGCCATGGGTTCTATCCCCCAGCACTGCTCAAAAAGAAAAGGAAAAAAGAAAAAAGGACAAGGAATTAATTAGAATAATGTAGAACAAAATCGGACTGGAGGAGTGTGAAGGGCAGACAGAATTCTGATTTGTGGGTATGGTGGGACTAAGAATTGAGGAGGGCATAAAAATATTTTTAGGAAATTAGATAAATGCAAGCCATAGGATGACAACTGTTGAAAATGATGCCAGGAAGAATTCTTGGGTGGAACGGGATGTTTGTAGAAAGGGGGTGCAGATACCATTGAGGGGGATCCTGGGAGGACATGTATATGCCTCAGACTGAGTTCTGTCATGGGAAAGTGTGCAGATGAAAGATAATGATGTCTGCATTGAACATATACCTAAGAAAGGCCAGGGCAGGGGGTTCTTGGGAAGATCCATGAGAAGTCATGAGGTGAAAGCTGAGTCCAGAGTGGTCAGGCTGGAGACTCATGGTGTGGCCTCTTCAAGGCAGAAGGGTTAGGTTAGGGTTACTTAGGGGAGGGACCACATGCCCATCCTGAACTGCCACTCCTGCCCCTAGATCCATGGAACCCAGTGAAACACCTGCTGTACACCACTGCCCTGCTGACTCTGTCCTGGGAGGTGAGACCAGAGCCCCCCAGAGCACAGAGCTTATCCCCAGAAGAGCTGTCAGTCGCTCTCCAACCTGTGCCCGCTGCCGCAACCATGGTGTCACTGCCCACCTCAAGGGCCACAAGCGCCTCTGCCTCTTTCAGGCTTGCGAGTGTCACAAATGTGTCCTTATCCTGTGAGTATAAGGGAGGGGAAGAGGATGGGCTTCCTCTAAAGGGTGGCTGACTTTTGACTTGCACCCCCACACACACTTTAGGGAGCGCCGAAGGGTCATGGCTGCTCAGGTCGCCTTGCGCAGGCAGCAAGAGGCACAGCTAAAGAGGCATCTGGCTCAGGGACTGATGAGGAGAGGAACAGCCCCTCTCAAAGCTCCCACCCGTGTCAAGAAAGGAGCCACTCGACCAGGGGTCCCCTGTGAGTGTCTCTGACTGGGAATGGGACAGGGATTTGGGTATAGAAAGCATAAGTGGAGAAGAGAGTCCTGCCACTGAATTGATATTTGACCCTGGGCAAAGTCACCCCAACTATAAAATGTGATCAAATGTTGTGAGGATACAGTGAGATCTGCAGGTAGAACATGGTCAGAGGGACATATGAACTCAGATGGGGCTGGGATAAAACAGGTTAAAAGAAAAGACTCACTAGAGCTCTCTGGTCCCTCACAGCTGGAAAGGAGAACATAGCACCCCAGCCTCAGAGCCCCCATGGGGCAGTCCCACTGGCACTGACACCTCCTGGGAAGGTAAGGAAAGCCTGTGCCCTGAGAGAGTAGCTCCCAGCCTAAGTCCTGCAGAGACCTCTTCCTCTGTGCCCTCAACACCTGATACTAGCCCCTACCGTAACTTACTGTGTAATCATGGGCAAGTCACTTTTGTGGGCAAAATGACAGTACTGGACTTTTAAGTGCCCCTCCCCACCATTTAGGGGTCCTACAACCATCCCAGAATATACCCATTCCTTCTCCAGCCTTGTACCTAACTCTAACCTATGCCCTCTGCCCTTGCAGGAGAACTCCTGTGGGCCTCTGCTGCTCAGCCGTCCCCCAGAAGCCTTACCTTTACCCTGGACTCCAGTGCCTCCTGGCCCTTGGGGACCAGGGCACTGGCTGCCTCCAGGCCTCTCCATGCCACCTCCAGTGGTATGCCGCTTGCTATGCCAAGAACCTGCTGTCCCTCTACATCCCTTCCCTGGTAGGAAGATAGTTCAACATTCATTCAACAGATACTTGTGTGCCAGTTTGCCACTATCAAAAAAGGAAGAGCTCTGCATTTTCTTACCCACCTTAGGCTTTGACCCTGGCACCTCCCTCCGGCTGCCCACCCACGGGTCCCTCCCAACCTTCCCAGGATCTCGCTCAGTACTGACAGCTCCTCTTTCTGGAGAGCCCCAAGGGCCCCCTAGCCTGCCCCACACGTGAGTAGAGAAAAAAGGATGTATATTTATTCTGAGCCTGACTCTGTGATGGATGATAAAAAAGGAAAGGTCTTGGGCTGGGGCTCAGTAGCAGAGCGCTTGCCTAGCATGTGTGAGGCACTGGGTTTGATTCTCAGCACCACGTATCAATAAATAAAATAAAGGTCCATTGACAACTAAAAAATATTTAAAAAAAAAAGAAAGATCTCAGGCTAATAGGTGAGGCAGAGTTCTCCTAACTCTAGTATTTCTTAGCTGTGAACCTTTGAATAAATGTCTATATTTTCCCGAGCCTGTTTTTCTATTGGCAAATAAGATATGCTATTACTTTCAGTTGTCATAATAATTAACAATAATGTATATAATATACCTAGCCCTGGTCCCCAAACCTTGAACAAATAGTAGCTATGAAATCCTCTTAAACAGATAAGATGAATTAGGATTGCCTGCAAAATGGAAGGCCACTATAACAAGAAACTTAGAGGCCAAGGAAAGAGGCCAGAGGTCATTAGAGAAAGCTTCTTGAAGGTGGGATAGGGGAACTGGGGGAGAGAAACCAGAATCTGGTAGGGCAGGGTCATAATCTCAGTCCCTCCATGTATTTTGCCCATTTTTTAAAACTTACACCAATGATTTCCTATAATCTGGGCAGGAAAAACTGACAGGAAGTTTCATTTTATGGAAAACAAAGGAGGCTAAGACAGTGAACAGGATTTAACCAGGCCCACAAAGTCCAGTGGCCCAGCAGCCTCTCAGCTTCCCAGATCAAAATGTATATATGTCTGTTTATGTGACTGATATGACCTGGCATCTCTCCATGTTTCTAGATGCTCGACTCTGATACTCCAGTCCTGTGGCACCCCAGACTCTCTTCTGCTACAGCCACAGGTCCTGGGAAAGAAGTGGCATCCAAGACCCAGGGAGGAGGTTGAGCCTGGGGAAGGAAAAAGCAAGGAACTATAAAAGAACCAGGGGCAGAGGAACACCTGCAGGTTGGGCAGAAGTGGGGATTCCCAGTCTGCTTCTTTCCCTTTCCTTTGCAGGCCCCTGGAGCTTCTCGCCTGGCCTGGACATCTGCCCCCTCAGAGCGGCAGCTGCAGCGGGAGGCAGCTGAGGCCCTGGTGGGTCTGAAAGATTCATCCCAGGCTCCCCGCCTGACCCCTTCTGTCCCCCCCAACCCTGCCTGGATCTCCCTGCTCCACCCCTGTGGCCCACCAGGTAACCTGCTTCCTGAAAGGGGAGGATGGAATAAGAATGGCACTAAATGGAGGTCACTAGAGCAAGCAGAGGTCAGGGATGGAGATGAGGGAAGGGGTTAACAAATTGAATGTCCTCAGATCCAGGCTCCCAAGTTCCTCAGCCTGGCCTCTGGGATTTTTAGTTGAAGCTTATTCAGTGAATCACATTTACCAGTTTCGTGCTCAACAGCAATTATCTAGTATTCTAATGTCAAGGAAAATTAGAGAGGTGGAGATTTTTCTAATGGCATATAGCCAGACAGTGTGGAAGCATGTCTCCTGACTCTAGCCCCAAGGTTCTCTCTCCAGACCCTAGCTGCTTGCTGAAGTCTGAAAAGGGAATGAAGAAGTAACCAGGGTCTGACCTGGGAAGAGGTGATAACTACCTTCCAGGGGTTTCCTTCCTGCTTAGGGAATCTGGATGCTTTCACAAGGCTCAGTGGTGAGACCATAGAACTCTTAAGGAGTGAAAACACTCACTCAGTTTCAATTTGTGGACAGAGAGGGAAGGCTGAGAGCCTTTCTGTTCCAAGAGTGGATTGGCTTAGAGGAATTGCTGCAACAGGGAGAGATGCAGCCAGATAGGCTTCTGATTGTAGAGATATGGCATGCTGGGTTTAAGAGTTTACACAAACAACTGTGCACAAAGGGGAGCCAAGAAATGTTTCTAAACTTGGCAAAATATATCCCAGAGAGCCTGAGCTTGAGAAAGAAAAATATGGTAGCTTTAATGGAGGGGCTAGAGAAGGCAAGATTGGAGGTGAGGAAATCAGCAAGAGGAGGTCTGTGCAGTTAGCAGGTGAACAAGGGTGAGGTGGAGCAGATGGGGTAAACAGAGATCTGCTGGGAGGGGAAACGGATATGACAGGTTCTACCTTTTCCTGCCTGTAGCTCCTGCTGGAGGAAGAGGATTCCAACCTGTCGGCCCCTCTCTCCGACCCAGCCCAGCTCCTTCAGTTTCTCTGCATATTGGGCGCCTGGGGTCCATCTCCCTTCTGAGTTAAAAGCCCAGAGGTGGAGGCTGCCTCACTGGGGCAGGAAACCAATAGCCCATAGGCACTGCATATTTGGTATTTTACTTACAGATTTTTGCATGGAATTTAATATAGTACAAGCTTCAGGATTTTTTTTAAAGCTTTCAGGTGCTTTGTTAGCTTTCAGTTCCTTTTATAGTGTGGGCATTTCCCTGGCCAAAGATGGATATTTTCATACCCTTCCTTGGGTCTTAGGATCTTTTTAAATATCCAAGAAACAAAGAGTTGTGCAGTTTAAGCTGACCAGTATCTAAATACTTTTCTGCATGAGTTCATGTTCTGTATATACCTATGTACTCATGTCTGCTCCATGCATATGAAAACAGGAGAGTACTTTCATTATGTGTCTAGGTTTGTGTGAATAAGCAAAAAATAAACATTTGTTGTTTTAAGTACTGAGATTTGGGGATTATCTGTTACTATAGCCTAACCTTGTCTATCCTGACTGATAGAAAGGACTTATTCAATTCACCTCTCATAATGAAAATCAGTTATTTAAGATTTACTACAAGGACTGAGCCTTGCATGCCTGAGGCTCTGGATATATCCCAAGTACCACGAAAAAATACCACAAATAAGGACTGAGGTTGTGGCTCAGTGGTAGAGTACTTGCCTAGCATGTGTGAGGCCCTGGGTTTGATTCTCAGCATCACAAATAAATAAAGGTCCACTGGCAACTAAAAAATATTTTTTTAAATACCACAAATAAGCACAAACTTGGAATTCTTATTATGACCATATAACAGTTTCCTGCTATCCAGAGGGCCACAAATTGAAATACCTACAGGACTGAGCAGACCATATAAACGAGTTAAAAGGGGGAGGTAAGGGCTGGCAAACTGAAAATACATGCTTTACCTAAAGGGGCAGACATTTTTGGCCCTAGTGGATTGTTGCCAGGCAGAAACATGGGCTCAGAGTTGCCACATCTTCTGGTTTTTCAAATAAAATTGAGAAACTTTTTTTTTATGTTCAACATCTTATTTTTTTTAATGTTGGCACATTTTTCTTCTTTATATCTTATGTGGGCCAAATAAAACATACCCAAAGGCCAGCTTTGGTCAATGGAATGTCAATTTGATGCTAAACTAAGATGACATTTTCCAGATGGAGAAACTGAGGCCAATCAGGACAAGCACCAAGTTAGTCTTTATCAAAAAAAGTTTTTCCTGAACTAAGGAGTGTGTCTAAGTTTGGAAGAATTCTTCCAAACAATCATTACCATTTATTAAGTATTCACTATATTTGATACACCTATATCCTAACAGTAACTCAGTAAGTTGTGAATTATTTCCATTTTATTAATAAAGAGGCTAAAAGAAGTAAAGTGACTTGCTTGAAATTTTAGGGAAATTTTCTAAGCAATACTCAGGAGGATTCCTTCTCCTTGCCAGTCCTCAAATGAATTAATAGATAATTTTTATAAAGCACAGAGTCTTATCTCCAGAGGATAGACATGAATCAAAGTTTTTCAAAAATGTCTTGCTTTTTCTACTCAAGCTATCATAAGAACTTACCTACATTTGTTTCTTAGTCTTCTGCTGTTGAGTCTCCTTGAGATGTTCCAAACTTATGAAGACCTATGAGCTACGCTATTCTAAAGATATGCAGACCTGGAGACCCTATCCATACCCACCCTTAGAAGGGGCAGACAGAAAGCTCAAAGGACATGCCTGGTCACTGACCGTTTTTCCTGATGTTACCTATGCCCCTTTTTATTCTTTTTATTTATTGGTGGTGATGATATCCAATTACAGCTTGTTCTTATTTGGGTCCTTACAAAGGTGGCCCCTAACAGATTACAGAATGACAAACCTGCAGCACTTCTCAGGAGACCTTGCAAGATATCAACAGAACTGAAGTCCACTTGACATCTTCCTTTACTCCCTAGTTATAACTTAGATATATGATTGCCCTTTAATAGACCTGCCTACACCTTGCTGTGCCATGCTTTCCCAGTGACAGAAGTCACAAAGCAGGGAATCACTGTTACTCAGACTATGCTAAGACTTTGCTACTCAGGGCTGACCAAGGGTCCCCAGTATGCCAGGGTCACTCATTTGGGAAGAAAATGAGAGTATAATTTTGGGAAAAGGATGGCATGAGAAGGGACCTCCATTTCCCTGGAGCCCACCTCCCCATCAATGCTAGTATTTTTCCAAATCATTAGTACCTCTCATTGGTGCCTGGAGGAGTCGGGCAGATCTCCTGAAAGAGGTCAGCCTTAGGAATGGGGTAAATTTAAGAATTGTTCATGCAGGCTGGGGTTGTGGCTCAGTGGTAGAGCATTCGCCTAGCATATGTGAGGTCCTGGGTTCGATCCTTAGCACCACATAAAAATAAATAAATAAATAAAGGTATTGTGTCCAATTATAACTAAAAAATAAATATTTTTTTAAAAATTGTTTCATGCTTCCACATTGCACTCTTCATCCACAGTTGAGGAAACCAGCCTCCGAGATTTTAGCCAGTGGACTGTGAGCACTGTTTTTCCTATACAACCCTCTTTCCCACTTGCCACTACAAAGTTGGGAATGGTGTTGCCATAGTCCACTGGAGTACTGGGTAAGTCTCTCCCCTTCAAATGCTCTCTCAACACTCTAGAAATAACCAATGATTTCAAATATGAAGCACCATTACACTCCTTTCTTTCCTCACAAGACCCTTCCCCAGAGCCATATACATTTTTTTTTCATTTTTCAGTACTGGAAACTCAATACAAAGGTACTCTATCACTTAGCTAAATCCCCAGGGCCCCCCAAAACTTTTTTAAGATTATTTTTTTAAGACAGGTCTCACCAAGTTGCTTAGGGCCTTGCTAACTTGTTGAGGCTGGCCTTGAACTTGAGATTCTCCTGCCTCAGCCTCCCAAGTAGCTGGGATTATAGGAATGAACCACTACACTTTGTGCATCCCCAGCACTTTTCATCCTTTACTTTTGAGATAGAGTCTTGATAAATTACAGAGGCTGGCCTAGAACTTGCAGTCCTCCTGCTTCTGCCTCCCCAGTCGTTGGAGTTACAGGCATGTGAAACCATGCCAAGCTAATTTTGTTTTGCAGTACTCTGCAGGGAACCCAGGGCATCAAGCATATAGGCAAGCACTCTACTTGTGATTCTTTCATCTCAGCCTCCCAAGAAACTGGGATTATGGGTATGGGCCACCATAATGGGCTATACCCAGGTTTTATTTCAGGAGCACAGTTCACAATTCTGCCATTTGAAAATTCATGCTGCCTTCACTTCAGCCCTACTCAAACTTCGTCCATTCCTGACCACATTTCTAGTCCAAGGTAGCCATGATATCACACCACCTATCCTGTCCAGTTTATCCTCAGACCCTCGTTCCTGGTTCATGTAGTGTTTTAGTCAGCTTTTTCACTGGTGTGACTGAAAGCCCCAACCAGAACAACTGTAAAGTAGGAAAGGTTTATTTAGAGGCTCACGGTTTCAGAGGTCTTAGTCCACAAAAGGGCAGTTCCATTCCTCGGGGCTCACAGTGAGGCACAACATCATGGTTGAAGAGTGTAGTGGAGGGAAGTAGCTCACATGGTGATGAGGAAGCAGAGAGAAAAACTCCACTCTCCAGATTCAAAATATATAATATACCCATGGCCACACCCCCAATGAACCACTTCCTCCAGCAACAACACCCACATTCCAGTTACCTCTTAATCCATTAGGAATTAATTCACAGATTGGGTTAAGTCTATAACCCAATCATTTCTCCTCCAAATCTTGTATTGTTTCACACGTGAGCTTTTGGGGGACACCACATCTAAACTATAACATGTAGGTTCATTCTGTACCCATGATGCCTTATGTAGTTGGTTTTGCAGCTCATGACAAACGTTCACATGTACACAGCCTTAAAACTCATGTCCTGCATAGACTCATGAAAATCCTAAACTCTTCCCTAAAGCAAGATTATCCTTTTCATCTCTATTGAACCCATTAGTCAGAGTCCTTATGTTCCTTAGGGGCCCTTGCCCGCTATTTAACAGACCTGATTATCTTAAACTATGCCTGTGTCCATCTGTGTCCATCTCTATGCCCAGAATAACTATTCTCAGAGGACAGCACCTAAGGCTGGGGGGTAACTCAATGCCAGAGTGTTCTCCTAGTACCAACAAGGTCCTGGGTTCCATCCCCAGCACGACAAAAAAAAAAAAAAAAATTTAAAACAATCCAGAGGCCAAGGCCTGTTTTCAGTACCTCTTTGTGAGATTTCAGAATATATGGGTAAAAAAAGGTGTTTCCAATACCTTGGGAATTGTTTTTCCTGCCCTCAAGTCATTCTTTTAATGTAGTTTATTTTTTAGAGTAGTTTTGGATTCACAGCAAAATGAAGTAGAAAGTGGTGTTTAAGGGGCTGCGGATGTGGCTCAGGCAGTAGCGCGCTCGCCTGGCATGCGTGCGGCCCAGGTTCGATCCTCAGCACCACATACAAACAAAGATATTGTGTCCGCCGAAAACTAAATAATAAATATTTTAAAAATTCTCTCTTCTCTCTCTCTTTAAAAAAAAAAAAGTGGTGTTTACATACACCACTCTCTTCCTACATACACAGTCTCCACTGTTTCCATCTCTATCAACACCCTACACCAAAGTGATAAATTTTTTTACAACTGATGAGTCTACATTAACACAACTCACCCAATGTCCACAGCTTACATTAGGTTTCACACTTGGTGGTATGCATTTTTTGGGTTCTGACTAACATAACAACATATGTCTATTATTATAATATCAAAGAGAATAATTTCACTACCCTAAAACTCCTCTGAGAAACATCTATTCATCCCACCCCCCAACAAAACTTTGATAACCATTAATCTTGTTAGTTCCCTGAAGTTTTGCCTTTTTCCAGGATGCTATATATAGGTGAAATCATATAGTATGTGGCTTTTTCAGATTGATCAAATTATACTTATTAAAGTTTTCTCTAGAGTCCTGTCTTTTTTGGGGGGAGGGTTAGGGACTGGGGCACTGGTTATTGAATCTAGGGATGCTTAACCATTGAGCAACATTTTTAGCTCTTTTTACTTTTTATTTCAAGACAGGGTCTCACAAAGTTGCTGAGGCTGGCTTGCTAAATTGCTTCTTGCTCTTGAGTTGGTGGGATTCCAAGCATGTGCCAACATGCCTAGCTTTCTGTCTTTTCATAGTTTAATAGCTGATTTATTTTTAGTAGTAATATTCCATTGTCTATATGTATCACAGCCTCAAATCTATTTTTTGGGGGGAGGGCTGTGGATCATACTAGGTATAAAAATTAACACTAAGGACACAGGTATAAAAATTAACACTAAGGACACAGTGCTGAGAAGCCATGATCTCTGAAATCATAGACTATAAGAAAGTCAGCTCTTTAAAAGCATAGCAATAACGAGAATGGGCAGCTCATGCTTACCTGGAGGGTCTAAGTCACTCTGATACAGAGAAGCAGTCATGGTTTCCAACCCAGCTGAGAACTTCAGAGAAAGGATTCCTAGAGACAACAATGCACATTTATCCTAACCCTTTATTTCCACAGAATCAGCACTGTGAGTCTGCTTCTCCACCAGACAAGATGCTAACAATTACCTAGTGCCCACTGTACCTAAATTCATCAAAACTCTGTTTACCATAAATTTTATCTAAGCTTCACCCTTCCCAAATTCCTATACTAACGCCATTCTTGTACTGTATGGTACTCCACATTAACTTTGGAGATCTCTTTTTTAAAAAGAGATATAGAGAATGATTCCATGAATTGGCCACAATGAATTAAGCTTAAATGATTTAGAACTGGTATTAGAAATGTATAAAAAGTGAGCAAATTATCCAAGTAAATGGAAATTTCCAGTTAAGCATACATGACAATACATATTCAAGGACCTATTTTTTTTTCCCCTGGGACGAAAAAAGCCAAGATACTAAAAATATTCTTGTGTTTTCAAAGTGTGAGAAATGGGTTTCAACAGCATGTAAAACCCAGATTTAAATGCATGATAAGTAAATGCATGATCTTATCATGCTAGAAACATAATTTTTTTTTCAATCCTGGGGATCAAACCCAAAGAAAGCTTCCTACATGCTAGGCAAGCACTCTATCATCAAGGTACTCTCCCAGGCCCAAGATTTTTCTTTTTTAATAGATATAACGGCTTATAAATAACAGACATTTTTGCATACAGTATGTATCTCAACTTGAGAAATTTTTATATTTTTAAATTGGTATTTTAAATTGTCTTTTGAATATAGGGAAATGGCTACATACATGTGTTTCTTTTTTGCAGTAAGCTAACATAATTTTATTGGACCACAATTATCCTTCACGTTCTCTGGTGGTTGGGCCTCATAAAAAAGATCACGTGAGATCATGCATGTACTGCTACAGGACAAGCCACAAGAAAAATGTCCAAATGTTTACTTGTACCTGGCACAGAGTAAGCACTCAAAATATTTGTTGTTGGAATATGTGGCGCACCCCATGCCAGAACAGTCACTTAAAGTAGGTAAAAGATTGGGACCTCGGGGTGCGTGTCACAGAAGTGAGACCCAAGCCCAGGGGCGCAGGGCGCGGTGGGGTGGGGAGGCAAGCGCTCTGCCTAATTACACAAGTCAGCCAGCGGGGCGAGAAAGGGGCCAAGTGAGCCTAAGGGTAGAGCAATGATTCCAGCACTAGGAGGAAGACCTAACTAACTTCTCCGAAGGTCCGGCTTCTGCCTCTTTGTCCCTGCCCTTAACTCCCCGCCTCCATTCCCACTCTGGCCACCAAGGAGGAGGTGAAGCAATTTCCGCCCTAAGAAGGGTGAAGCTTCCAGCTCCTGCTCTCGCGAGTACTGGTGATGGAAGGAGTAAAGGCAGTGGCCTCATTTCTTTTTTGCCCTTCCCCTAGTTTTCTTGTCGCAGTTCCGCCCTTACTACTTTCACTTCCGGCCATGGAAAAGTCACTTCCACCCGGAAAAAGGGTCGTCCATTGAGGCCAGGTCTTCTTTCCTGCCCACTCAACTTCCCCCGTGCTTCCGCCCTCAGTATCTTCTACCGCTACTCCTGCCGGCCACTACAACGCCAACTAAGCCAGGTTCCCCCAGCTCCAGACGGGAGTTCCCTCTTCTTTAACGCTCCTCTCCGAAAAAAAGGAAAGGCTGGAAGGAAACACTGGCCCCCACGCCCGCCCCCCAGTAGCATTTCCAGTTGCTCCTCTATCCCTCACCATACACCCTCCCATCTGGGCGAAGATGAAGGCACGTTTGCCCTGAGACAGGCGGAGCCGCCGACTCTAGCCCCGTTATCGCGAGATCTTTGAAGTATCGCGAGACTTGACGCCCGACTTGTGCGCCCGGGAAACCCCGTCGCTCCCTTTCCCCTGGCTGGCAGCGCGGAGGCCGCACGGTAAGCTGGCGCTCCGGCACGGGCTGGGCATGGGGATTCGGGGCCGAATTTCCCGGCTCAGGAGTGTGTGCCTCATGGCCCCGGTGAGCACGGCGCGGGGCCGACCCGCCCCCAGAAGCCGCGACCACGTGCGAGCGGCAGGCCCGGACATGCCTGCTCCGCGCGGTCCGGAACCGAGAGGGCCTGGCGGGCAGCTGAGGGGTGCGTAAGGGCATCCAGAATCCCGGGGCTGAGGGATGGTGTTGTGCAGGGAGCTCCCAAACTGGGGCCAGGCCGGGCTGGTGGGACCCACAGAGACGAGCGCCAGTAAGTTCTTGGGATCCATAGGAGCCAGGGCCGGAGTTGAAGTGGGCCTTGGGGGTTAACGCGGGTGCTGCGGCTTAGATCGCCGAGGAGCCGAGTTGGCTTCCAGGGCCCGGGCCCTCATTCAGACCTCCACCAGACCTTCTGGTTACATGTCGGACTTTCTCTCACAGATGCCCGGAGTTACTGTAAAAGACGTAAACCAGCAGGAGTTCGTCAGAGCTCTGGCAGCCTTCCTTAAAAAGTGAGTGCGGGGGCTGAGGTCGCAGTCTGTCGGTTGGCACGTGAGCGCACCAGGCTCCTGTTCGGGGAGGGAGGGGAGATTTGTGTGGGGCTTCCATGTGAAGAGTGCACTTTCTGTATGAGGCCTGGGTTGGTGGTTTTGCGTTTCAGCCCGTTTATTTGTGTCTTGGAACCTCTTTCTAAAGTTATGTTCAAACGAAGAGGTTATATGGGTAAAATTATTAGTGAGATTCCTGAATTGCGTTTTCCTTCCTGTTTCTGTCCTAGGTCTGGCAAGCTGAAAGTCCCCGAATGGGTGGACACAGTCAAGCTGGCCAAGCATAAAGAGCTTGCTCCCTACGATGAGAACTGGTTCTACACACGAGCTGGTGAGGAATATGTGTGGGCCCTTGGCTAAGGGGGAGAAGCTGGGTAACCCCATGCACAAACCCATTTTGCTCCCTCCCAAGGTTGCAGTAGGAGAGACTTTTGTGTTGCCACATGTTATGTGACTTGAGACTTTAATAACTGCGGTTTTAACAGAGCTTTGAGGAAAGCTTGGTGTCAAATTGGTGGTCGTGTTTAATTAGGAGTTCTTCACTTGAGAGAGGCAACATCCCTTCTGCATTCAGGGAGTCAGATTCATGTCCACTGCTTAACCATAACCTTGGACAAATTGCTTAATTTGCTTATGTTTTCAGTTTCTAATCCTAGTGATGGAGGAGCTAATGGTGGTACTATTGCAGGATTATTGTGAAGATTAAATGAATTTAAAGCAGTCAAAATTTTAGAAGCGCCCATTGCACAGTAATTAAAGTCTGCTGTCTTGTTTCTGTTATTCAGATCATCATGTTAGACTGCTGCCTAGCAAGTTGTTTCTCACTTCGTGGTTGGGATCTGAGCAACTTCTTGCTCTAATCTTGATTTCTAAGTGCCTGTAAAGAAAACACCCTGACCTTGTGGTCACTCCCTGCTGTCCTGGCAGCTCTCATCTTTTTTTTTTTTTAATCTTATAGTTGTAATGTAAATACATTTGCTAACTTCACAGTGCTAGTTCTTGCCTGTTTTGACATTTCTAGACTGTATACACATCACGCACGCTTCTATAGGTCTAACTTACAGGGATGGGGTCAGTGCTGGGTTGTATTAAGGGAGCAGCCTCTGCACAGGTCTTCTATGGGATCTTGGCCTCTCTGATCTCCCTTTGTGAAGTGGGGGCTCCAAACTAGCAAAGGTCATTATTAGATAGGAGACAGTTTGGCAGATTTCAGGAATGACCCTGAGATCAATTGGCCTCAGCCTTGGTACAAGTTGGTTAGCTCTAACAACATTGTAGACTTGTTGTGCACTCATGCATCAAATGTCCATGGGGCCCACTTTGTTTCAGGCCTTGGACTGGGCACAGGGGACCAACATGACTCATCACAACCTCTGACCTCTGAGGACTAAAAGATCAACTCTGTGAGGTGGGTAGGATGGGTAGCATATCCACCCACCCACCACTATAGTTTTAGAAAACGGGGGTGGTTGTCGGGTTGGATGGTACATGCCTATAATCCCAGCAATTCAGAGTGCTGAGGCAGGAGGATTACAAGTTTGAAACCAGTCTGGGCAACTTAGAAAACCCTATCAAAACTAAAAGGACTTGGATGAAGGTCAGTGTTTAAAAACTTGTGGGTTCAATCCCTAGTACCAAAAAAGGGAAGGTGGGGATGGTGAAGGAAAGCTAGCTCCCGGTACACACAACAGTGACGAGACCAGAATGGCACAATGTCCTCAGTGTTTTTTGGCAATGCCTCAAGAGAGATTAAAGAAGCTTTGGATTTAAGTTTAGAACAATGTAATAGCTTTTTCCATTATTTGAGGTGCATAGACATTTTGCATGTACTAAAAACCTGAAGTAGAATTGCTTTTGCCTGCTTCACAGTTGATCTTAGAAAGGTTGAGTAACATGTCCAGGGTCAGCCAGTTAGTGATATCAAAATACATCCTTAACACTGCTTGGAAAGGACTCTTCCAAAATACCTTTTTTTTTTTTTTTAACGTAAGGAATGGTTAAAAAATGGGATCAAGACCCTGGGGATGAACCTAGATGAATCTGCTGGTCATGATATAGTAGTTGCAGCCCTTTGCTTAGGAGGCCCTTCCCTGGACATCTCACATTGGGTGTGTGTTCTCCAGTGGAGCTGGAGCTCCAAAGCTCCCTTTTGGACCTCACTTTCCCAATGGCGTTGTGATATAGGGAGTTGGGGTGCTGTTTGTGCTTGTTTTTTACATTGCTACAGCAGCAGAAGCCGAGTTATTTTCTAATCCACTACAAAAGATGCTTGCTTACTGATGTCTATTCTAAAATCTTATGTGCTTTTCACCTAATGTGGGTACAGAGAGGTAGAGTGACTTTTCAAGCAGCTTTGGGGGCATTGGCAAGCCAGCTCTGTCTAACCGTAGGTTCTAGGCTGTATTTTCTCTCTTTGGATGGTGAGATCTGGCCTATTTTGCCCCCTCAGGAGGTAGAAGCTGGAGTACAGTGAAGAAACATACAGATGTGGGAAATAAAGAAGTTTGTGGCAGAAGGTGGTCTGGATGTGAGGCAGGACTATGGTATCAAGTTTCAAGGCAATGAGATGGAGATAGAGAACAGATAATCTCTAAAGGGAGGCTCTGTTGCTCAAGATCAGACTATAGTGGACCTAAAGGGGCAGGATGGTGTCACCCTAGTTAGGTCTCTTGGCCTGTTAATTATCAGAAAAACCTGCTTAGGAGTGAGATGAGAATCCATTATGGTGTCTTGGTGGGTATTTGACTGGGAGAATGCTCAATCAGAATACTTGAAGACAGCTTATTGCTTATAGGGTAAAGGCTGGTCCTTCTGACTCTTGTGTAGGGTCAGGGACTCAGTCATACTGTGTTAGAAGAAATGAAGCTTAGGAAGCATCACAGAAAAATTAAAGGGCCAAATCAAGATCAGGAATGTGATTTTTCCTTGGTTTGTCAGAGAAAGGTCAGGGCAGAGCCCCCCACTTTTGACTAGTGTCAGGATACAACCACCAGTCTGTGCTTATTAGCATAAACTGTTGGTGCTATGGTGGCTCAGAAAAGCTGGCTTGCTTGTCTCAAGTGCAGAGTGCTGTTGTCCCCCAGCCCAGCAGGAACACACAGCTGTTCCCCCTTTTCTAAGGAAAAATGTACTGGGGTAGAGAAGGCCTGTGGGGCTCTCAGCCTGTCACAAGGCCTAACTCGCCTACGAATTCATCGAGAATGGCCTGGATTTTTTTTTTTTTTTTTTTTTTTTTTAATTCCACCAAAGTGTGGCAGTAGGGCCCAGGTCTCAAGGGGGTGGAAAAGAGGCCAGTGCTTTCCAGAACTTGGTGTTTTATAGTAGAGCTCCAGTGAAGTAAATCCCTTCCTTCACTTCTTATGGGTCAAAAATAATGGGGTGGGGGCTGGGGATGTGGCTCACGTGGTAGTGCGCTGGCCTGGCATGCGTGCGGCCTGGGTTCGATCCTCAGCACCACATACAAACAAAGATGTTGTGTCTGCTGAAAACTAAAAAATAAGTATTAAAAAATTATCAAAAAAAAATAATGGGTAGCAGGGCCTTGTACTCTCTCTCCATTGTGAGCCCCAATTGAAAGAACTAGTGTGCTTTGATGGCACTTATTTCCCACCAGTCACTGTATTTAGGAATTGAATTTAATGATCTCCTTTGGTGCCACTGTACCTACCTCCTGGCAGCTGGATATATGTGCTTGTGGCACTACTAATAAGGAGCCCCGTTGAGATTGTCTCCCACCTGCCTGTTAGCTCAGTGTTTGGCCACCTGTTTTGCACATTGAGCCCAGGCTGAGACCCTGGATCTCTGGGCACTGGTCCTGGCTCAGCAAGACCAAGGTTGCGTGTACCACTTCTGATACACAGCTTCTTACCTTTCCTGAGCCCTTAACCCCTAGCAGGAGATCAGGTCTCCTAAGCAGGGCACAACCAGATGAAAGCCCATGGACAGAGGTGGTTGTTCATTCTGGGATGGAGTTTTCTAAAGACTATGGGTGAAGTGATTTATGCCAAGATAGTCTCTTGATTCTGGCAGAGGGGCAGAACTACAGTAAAAAGTCCCCAGGGCAGAGATAGGACCTGCAGTAAAGTGGAAAGGTATAAAACTGATGGAATGATTTTATTTATTTGTTGTAGTTGGACACAATACCCCTATTTCATTTATTTATTTTTATGTCAAGCTGAGAATCAAACCCAGGAGCTTGCTTATGCTAGGCAAGCACTGTACCATGAGCCAAGAGGCCAGAAGCAGTGAGAACTTTTTAAGTACCCTGGTCACTTGGTTTGTTGTACACAGAGAACACTGCCTAGCCTCTGGCTCTAAGTCAGTAGTTTTTGAACTGAATCACTGGTTCACCCTATTGATTTTCAGAACCAGAAGAGAGCTCACTTGAGCAGATTCTGGCCCTTGTGTTTCCCAGCCGGTAGAGCCATATGATGGCTGGAGGACTGTCTCTCCTGCTCCTGGTGAGGTTAAGTGGTTTGCCTAAGGCCATATCAGTCCAGCTTCTGAGGCCATCTTAATGCATGAGTGATTTTGTGCAGGGCATTTGGCACAGGGTCTAGCAGACCTATGCTCCCATTCCACAGCAGTTCTGGGTTTTGTTAGAACTTGCCTTTTAGGAGGCTGGCCCTGGGATCAAGCCAGTCCAGGGATAAGAACCCTTGTGTCCTAGAGGGCATGCTGCGGGTTCCAAGTTGGGAGCATCCACTGCATAGGGTGTCTGCCTTCTCCCTGTTGTTACTCAGGCTCTCTTGGGCATATAGATATGATCAGTTTCTTAAAACATTGACTAGGCTCCGCCCTCACCATGCCTCAGATTCCTGCCTAGAGTACATAGTGACTTGACAAACTGGGAGGGCTGGTTGGGGGTACATCAAGTGGTCATCATGTGTGTTTTCCACTTCTTCCACTTAAAATGGTGAGGATTAGCTCTCACTGAACTGTTGTATGTGCCTAAGAAGTGTTCTCAGCTCCCTCTCACTCCACCTCCAGCTTCTACAGCACGGCATCTGTACCTCCGGGGTGGTGCTGGGGTTGGCTCCATGACCAAGATCTATGGGGGACGTCAAAGAAATGGTGTCATGCCCAGCCACTTCAGCAGAGGCTCCAAGAGTGTGGCCCGCCGTGTCCTCCAAGCCCTGGAGGGACTGAAAATGGTAGAAAAGGACCAAGATGGGTAAGCAGAAAGGGAACCTGGGGGCCAGGTTATCAGTACCATAGGCCACATACACTGAAGCTGTCGGGTGCCTCCCACCTGCCTCCTCTCAGGGCCAGGCAGGGCATTCAACAGAAAAGCAAAACAGTGAGGGGGCCTCACCCCGACCTCTCTGGCTGACTTCCTCAGGCTCCAGGAAGGTAATTTAGTGACTGTCCGCTTTCATTAGCCTGCTCGTTAACTTTTCCGAATTGATTTTTCGCGGCTTTTGATCTAATGCTTGCACAAACGACACCCAGTCAGCTCCCGGGAGAGCTCGCGCTCCTACCCCCAGCTCGTTGGAATGCAACTGACTAGGGCCTGGGTGGGACTTGGCTGGAGCTGGTATGTGGTCCCTCAGCCAGGTGCCTTCTTGGGAAGCCTGGCTTGTGGCCAAGAGGAGGGGGCTGAGAGCCTGTACTCCACAGGGAATGACTGAGATTCTTTTCTCCTTTAGGGGCCGCAAGCTGACACCTCAGGGACAGAGAGATCTGGACAGAATCGCTGGACAGGTAAGATGTGACTTTGTTCAGGGTGGGACCCTCAGTCACTCCCCCAATTTCCAGAACCTGTTGTCATGTAGATGTGACTTATTTCCTTTCCTGAAGGGCTTACCTCAGGAAGGAGCTGTCCAGGGGCAGAAAAAAGATTATTTCTGCTTAAGTTGATCGAAAATTTGGGTGTTGGGGTAGAGGGAGCCCAGGCCAGGGTGGTGTTTGGCCTCTATAGGGCACATCTATCTGCCCCCACACACTGGTGGTTCCATTTCCCATATCTTGTGCTTACTTGGCAGCAGGTGGGTTCAACATACTGGGTCAGGCCCCACATCCTGAGTGGATGACACTCAGGCAAAGTCCCTTTACCCCTATAGTCTCCCTGTCATGGAATGACCCACTCTCACCAGCCTGCACTGGGGTTGAGGATTCAATCCTCCACAGGTTGCAGTATAGCAGGAGCCCCAGGACCTAAGGGGTCCTGGCATGAGCTCTGTGTTGGTTTCTAATCATTGGCTCAGGCCTCCTAGAAGCCTTGAAATATGTAGTCACTTAATCAAAAGAATGAAAGGTGCTGCCCTCTGGGAGTTGGAAGAGAGCCTGGTACAAACATCTGTGCTGATGGTTAGCATTCCCCTCATGGGGCAGTGGGCAGAATTGGACTCATCCATTTGCTTGAGTCCCTGTAAAATGGGAAGATGACCTCAGTTATGAAGATTAAATGAGTACGTTTGGCATCTAGAATTTAGTGTGTGTATTACTGTAGCCAGTGGAGTGCACAGTAGAGACCCCCCACTCATCTGAATTCTTCATCTTTTCCCACAGGTGGCAGCTGCCAACAAGAAGCATTAGAACAAAAGGATGCTGGGTTAATAAATTGCCTCATTCGTAATTTTGGTCTGGATCTCTTGATTGACTGAAAGCACATTCCTAGGGACCAGGGGTCTCTGGATGGTTATGTTGAACAGTAGCTGGCAGAGCACTAGGCCAGTCTTCCCACTTCAAACACCTCCCTAACTGGACATTTTCCTGCAGTGGGTAAGGGGACTGTATCCCTCCCCCACGTCCTGTGTTTACAATTCTCTGGAACAAGAAACAAAGGGTGATTGGTTAAGCAGTGACAAATCTGATGCTGGGTTGCAGAGGTGTCATCTGTTAGAGTAGGGATGGTCCTAGAGCCCATGTGTCTTTCCTGGGAGGAAGTAAAGAGGGACCTGCAGAATTGGTGCTATTCTGCTGGGGGTTTTGCTGAGGACAGAACCCTTAGAATATAGTGCCTCTGCACTATATTCCCAGACCCATCCCCCTCCAGGGTCTCACCAAGTTACTTGGGTTGCATTCCTGCAGTTGCAGGGGTTACAGGTGCACGCTGCTGCCCAAAGTGATTTTCCAGACTGGTACCTATGTATGAGCCTGCATGGGCAGGGTGGGCCTACTTGAGCCTCTGCTTTTCGTATTAGGGTCGTGGCTTTGGGCCTATCCCAACCCTAGAGCCTTGGGAAGGAGGTGTTGATGGAGCCAACTACTAGAGCTTTGCACAGGTCTGGACCCGTGAAGTTTACACCTGAAGAGATCCCTGTTACTTAGGTCCCTAGTGAGGCAGTTAGGACCACCTGGTACCCACCCCCCAAAATACTTAACCCAGATCCATTTGAAAGCAAAACCTGGAGTGGAGGGAGAGTTGCAGCTATAGGCTGGGGATGTAGCTTAATGGAGGATTTGCCTAGCATGAGCAAGATGGTTCCATCCCCAACACTGGGAGGGAAAAGAGTCCATCTCTGCTCTTAATTTTGGGCAACCTTGTGCAACTCCCCATGCAATCCTCCCTCTCCCGCTTACCCTAAGGGATTCAGCAAGATAGTCACATAAAGCTTTGACTCAGGGTAGCATTCCTGGTAGACTGTTGACATTGCATTTAAGATGGACAACCTACAGCTCCCGCACCATGTGGGAGATGAAACTGCCACCCCTCCGAGTTTGGAGGTTGCCAGTGCTGAAAGATTGGTACTGAATAAATAGTATGTGCCACCAGGTACTTGCAGAATATTTTGTACACCCAAGGGCTATATACTGGAAGCAGGAAAAATCAATCGCAGATTAGGTAATTTGTGAGATGTCCTATGGCTAGAGAGTGACAGTCATTTGAACCCAAACTGCCAGCTCCGTCCTGCTACAGCACTATCAGAAGAAAAAAAGCTGAGAAAATGAGGTACAAGAGTTTACATTCCCTGGCATGACCCCAGACCAGTCAACATCCAGTTCTGGAATCTTGGTTTTTGTTTTTGTCCACCAAGGATGAAAACACTTCCCAGAGCTAATATAAGCATCTGGTCTGTACAGGGTGGGGCACCAGAAAGAGGTACTAAGTAAGTTAGACCGGGTGCCTGAAATCCAGCTTTGCCTATCCAACCGCTAGGGGGCAGCCAATGCCCTGGAAACAGCTTCTGAAAGATGCTGAAAAATATGAATTCCTAGGGCTTCCAGCTCTGGACCCATGATTCTTCCTGGGAAGGCCTTAGAAGGAGGGACTGAGGCATAGAGGGGCTGATAGCCTGCTATTCAGTGACAACAGGGGTCCAACAGAACATCTGGGCCTCTGGAAGGAAGAGGGCAGGTCTCTAGAAACAGAAAAGAACTAACCTTGTCCTAGGAGCTGCCTTCATAATATTCGTGCACTTTCACAAACAGGAATTGTACCCATATAATAAGAGAAGACCCTGAGGCTCAGATGACCAGTGAGTTGGCAGAACTGAGATGCAAGTCACAGAATCCTGGATTCTTGAAGCCCAGGCTCTTCTGTGGGTGACAGTTGCATTTTTTAAAAAATTTAATAAATATGGGCTGGGGTTATGGCTCAATGGTAGAGCGCCTGCCTAGCTAGCATGTGTGAGGCACTGGGTTCGATTCTCAGCACCGCATATAAATGAATAAAATAAAGGTCTATCAACAACTAAAAAATATATTTTAAAAAATTAAATACTAAAGGCATGCAAAAGAGTATCCATAACAACATTTAACAGCCACCCACACACCTACCACCCAGCTTGAGAGACCACACAAGGGGGTCTGGCAGTGCAGGTCAGTGGTAGAGCACATGTCATGTGTGCACAAGGCCCTGGGTTCACTCCTAGCACCACAGAAACAAACCAAAAATGAAACACAAGGAATAAGACCCAAACTGGCCAAAGTCCTCTGTGTGCTCCAACCCCGTCCTCCTTTCTTCCTTGAGAAGTAACCCCTCTCAGAACCGGGCATTTGTCACCTTATGTGGGACTAAACCTCCTTTACAGGCTTGTATCCTAAAGTAGTACCCAGTGTTGCTTTGCCTTTTGAAAACAAGTCCAACTGCATCGCACTAGATTTTTTTCTCATCCTCGCATTATTTGAGAGGCAGCCTATTGACGCTTCCCTATTCTGTGGTATTTGGTTGGTTGGCTGTCACAACCCGTGAATCCACTCTCCTGTAAATGACTTTTTGGATTGCCTCTAGATTTTTGCTAATAAAAATCTCCCTGCCATGATCTTTTCTCTTTTCAGCACTGGAGATTGAATTTGGGGTACTCTACCACTGACCACTGAGCTCCATCCACAGCTCCCTCTTTGTTGTTTTTTTGTTTTGTTTTGTTTTGTTTTCAAAATTGCCCAGACTGCTGGCCTCCAACTTGTGATCCTCCTACCTTAGCCTCCAAAGTTGTGGGGATTACAAGTATGCACCACTGCACCCAGCATGAATTCTCTCTCTCTCTCTCTCTCTCTCTCTCTCTCTCTGTGTGTGTGTGTGTGTGTGTGTGAGTGTGTACATGGATCCCCTAATTGTTCACAAGTATCTCATCAACTCCCTCCTTCCCTACTCAAACCTCATTTCCCTGGCTAAGCATGACAGGCTCAAAAAAACCTGGGACAAAAAGATGCCTTTGAATCCCTCAAGATCACTCCCAGACTGAATGACAACAGGAAAGTGGTAACCTCCCTCCCTTCTCAGGACCTCAGTTTCCTCCTCTGTAAAGTGGCGAATGACCTATGTTGTCCCATGTGGGAAGACCCATGTAAAAGAACTCCAATAAAAAAGCGAGGTGCTAAGCAACCGATAAGACCCTGTCTCTAGATAAAATACAAAACAGGGCTGGGACGTGACTCAGTGACCCAGTGTCCCTGAATTCAATCCTGGTACTCCCCCGCCCCGCCCTCAAGAAAAGAACTCCAGTAAAGTGCTCATGTGGTTTTAACTCCTGGGCGCTGGGCACAGCGTCTCATGTCACAAGGTCAAGGAGATCCTCTGCTCCTCAACTTGTGGATTTACAGATGCCAAGGCCAAGGCTGGGGGTGCAATTCAGTGACAGAGCTCTGGCGTAGAATGAGCGAGGCCCTGGGTTTGATCCCTAGTACTGAAAAAAAAAAAAAAATAGCCGAGACTCAGAAGAGGGAAAATCCTCGTTCCCAGCCCCGAGAAGTACGGAAACAAGCTCAGAGGAGAACAAGTTTTGTCCAAGGTCAAGGAGCAGACAGAAGCGGAGCTCAGAACCGCCACACAGACTGCCAGCAGCCGGCACCCTGAACTCTGGCTCCCTCAAGCCTCTGTCCCCAGACCTCCCAGTGCTGAGCCAGGCCTGAACCAGCCTCTGCCCCCACCCAGCAGCCACGCCTCAGGGGAAATGCGGCCACTGCAGGTGCAGAAAGTAGTTTCTCCCTCCTCTGGGGCAGCTGCTACCAGCCTGAAGCAAAGGGGCAGGGGCTGCCCCCAGGCCGGCAGTCAGGAGGCCTAGCAGCGAAGACCAGTGGAGCCCATCTCCGGCAGGGTAGGGCAGGAAGTGGGGCGGGGTTTGAAGTGGAATCTGGTACCCCAAAACTGCTGCAGCACCACTCACCTACCAGTTGGGAGAAGATGCTTGGGAGTTCAGGAGTCCTTCCAGCTCTGCCTGCCACCATCTGCGGCCTCTTCTTGCTGTCCGCAGCCTGCCTGGGTATGTGGCCAAAGGGCAGGTGCTGTGCGAAGGGGTGAAGGAGGCCAGCGGGCAGGCGGGAGGACAGGCGCAGGTAGTGGGGGCAGGGAGGGGGCCAGCGGAGGGGGAGCTGGGGAAGACCCCTGCAGAAATCGCAGCTGTTGGCCCAACCTGGGCCACAGTAAGCCTGGAGGAGGCTCGGGGAGTGGACTGGGCATCCACAGTCCCATGGAGGGAGGGAGGGAGGGAGGGAGGACCTAGAAGGCCCCCTCCCCCTGCTTGTCCCCACAAGTCAAAATGAGGAACTAAGGTGGCTCTTGATTGAACACCATAGTTGCGGGCAGGAAGGGGACTTGGGGGTGGCACTAAGAGCCAAAGGGGAGCAAACATTTTCTCCTCTACCCTAAATGAAAGTTGCCCTCTGTGGAG